GCAGCGGGGGGTTAACCCGGGGGTTGTTAGGGGTGGGGGGGGGGGGTGTCCCCCGCCCTTCCCCCAGCCCCTTTAAATATAATTTGTTAACGTTGGGACTCGTATTAATTAAAGCAGCAGCCGCTGCAGCCTGTGACCTGGGGGCTTGTCACCGTGAAATCAAGTTTAAATCCAGATTTCAAGGGGGAAGAGAGCTGGGGGGAGCTCTGTGTCCTCCTAGGGAGGGTGACAGTGACAGTTCCTTGCCGGTCCCTGGCTCCTCTGAGCCCTGGGTGGAGCAAGAGGCAGAAGGACCTGCCCTCTGCTCTCTGGGGTCCTAGATAAGGGCCTCTGCCTCAGGTTCCCTTCTGTGCAGTGGGGAGAAGGACCATAACCGCCCCTCTCCTGGGATACCCTGGCAAGTGCTGTGACTGCCTCAGACAGGCAGGGGACAAAAGGGAAACTGCGACTGTCCCAGCAGTGCTTGGGGCAGGAGCTGCTGGGTTTGGGGGTGATGGCAGCTGCGGACCTGCTTCTTGTCCCCTCTCAGCCACGGCTTTTTTCAACAGTGTGAATAAGCTCAGGAGCCGGGCAGAGTATTCTCCTCCTCCTGAGGATTTGGAGAGATGCCCCCTTTTCCGTTCTGCATCTCTCCATTTCGCCCACCCCCACCCCACCAACTCTCCCTATTGGAGTCACCATGGGTTTGCACTGGGGCAGACCCACATATCACCCGTGGAAGTGGTGGGGTGGGTATAAATACCCTTGGAAAGCTGGAGAAAGCAGCAGCCTGATTGACAGCTCCCCTTCCCCCTCTGAGCAGGCTGTAATTCAGCAGGGACCCTGGGGCTGAGCCCTTCCTCCAGAGCTGGGTGAGCACTGAGCTGGGGAAGTCAGTCCCTGATTCCTGAGAGCTGCTTCTGCCTGTGTATCTGCACCAGGCTCACAGGATTTGGGATGTGGAGGGATAGTAAACCTTCTCCCCAGGAGCTGGCTGCTCTATAAGGCAGTTGCAGTCCTTTCTCCAGCATCCTCCTCCAAGTCTGATTTCTGTAATCAAGGTTCAAAAGGCTCCAGCTCCTGCTCCTCCCAGAGATCCAGCTCTTGCCCATTATGTGAAAGAGGGAACCCTAACCTGGAGAGAGCTCTCAGCAGGGACTGACATTCTGAGCAAGGAGTGGGGCACTTCTAAGCCCTTTATGGACCCTCTGCAAGCTGCAGGATGCTCCTGGGCATCATGCTGCAAGCTGCTCACTTTGCAGGTCCTCTTCTTGAACGTTGTGGATCCCAGGATACTTCAAGCCATTCCCTGGAGCTGGGCAGACACTTCCTCCCCTTCCATCTCCCTTTCTGCATCTGTCCATCCTGTGTACCACTGTCTTAGCTGCAGGCACCACTCTCTGGTCATGTTTTGCCCATCTCCCCACACTCCATCTACTTACCTGTTTCCACAGGCAGCACCTCTACTTTTATTAGCACTTGCAGCCCATGCCTCCCCTTACACCCATCCAGCTGCTTCTGTGGTGACAGGCACCAAGTCGGTGGGGCTAGGATGTGACAGTGGATTTGGGATTGTTGCTGGGAGCTTGAGGGGGTTTGTCAGGGTGCTTGGCTCTGAATGTCCCAGCAGGTAAAAGCTGGTCCCTCTAGTTACCTCCCTTGTGAGGACCAGTGGTGTCAGAGGGACATGGGAGATGCAGGGAGGGGATCAGCTAGCAAATAGGGACTGGCAGCTGGACCTGGGATGAGTCTCCTGCTCCAGGGTCTCTAGATTCTCCCAGAGGGAAACCCGAGAGTCTGCAGTGCATGGCTGGGGCAGAAGAGCCCCAGAGGAGCAGGCAGAAGGAGTGGCAGCCCTGGGAGATTCTATGCTGCTGCCGGTCACAGGCTGCCAGGATGCCCAGGCTGTGTCAACACGGCTGGAAAGGACTGAGGCCCCAGTGCTGCTAGAGCAACTCTGCCTGGCTGAGCTTGTCATTGTGCCCAGGAATAGGGAGGAGAGGGGTACTTCTGGCCCTGGGACCACTAGCCTTTGGAGCTGATCCTTTCCTCTGCCCCTCACCTTTTCTCCTCCTTTCCAATCCCAGTCTACCCTGCTGCGTGACCCTTGCAGGCAGTGGGCACAGTCTAAGGAGAGGAGCATCTCCCCATCCCAAGAGGGAAGTGAGCGGTTGGTGCTTATCTTGCCTGGAGCTCACAGGTTTCCCTTTCCCTCCCAGCTCCTGCTCCAATGAGATCCTGGGCCTGAAGCTGCCGTCGGAGCCAGTGCTGAACGCCAACACGGTGTGCCTGACCCTGCCGGGGCTGACGCGGCGGCAGCTGGAGGTGTGTGTGCGTCACCCCGACGTCACCGCCTCGGCCATCCAGGGCATCCAGATCGCTATCCACGAGTGTCAGCACCAGTTCCGGGACCAGCGCTGGAACTGCTCCAGCCTTGAGACCAAGAACAAGATCCCCTACGAGAGCATCATCTTCAGCAGAGGTAAGGGCTGGATGGTCTCCTCCCTCTCCCTCTGCCCAGTCGCTGCTCTCAGGACCCCTTATGGGCTCCCCAGGCACCCCTACACAGGTCTTCCCTGGCCCAGGGGACCAGGCCAGCTCTTCAGCATCCCCATGGATGCAGACGGACAGAGCCTGAGAAACTTCAAGGTCTGCCAGACCAAGAAGCACTGCATTGTGGCAGAGCTGGGCTCTTCTCCATACGCCTCTGTACCTGTGCTGGCCCTTGGCCTGAGCTGCTCCACCCGGCCCAGCTGCTCCCCAGGCTCCTTCCAGGCCCCACTGCTTGCTGGCATCTTCTCCCCATGAAGTGTAGGCAGGTGTTTGGAGAAGTGCCATGGGTATGCAGCACAGCTGGTGAGTCTGAAGGTGAATACTGTGCTCTGGGTTTTGGTTTGGTGGATGCAGTGAGCATTTTGGCTCATTCCTACTGTGGGGATGGTGTTTCAGTGCATCATGGTGAGCAGAAATACCCTTAGCTAATGGGACATAGCTCCGTGAGCCAATCACCCTGGTGTCAAGCCTTTCTGTTGGTTCCCCAGTGCAGAGAGCTGAGGACTCTGTGTTTTGTGGGATCCTGGAGCATGGTGGCACAGAGGGGCAGGGAGACAGGCTGTCCTGGGAGCTCACTGCCCCACAGAGTACCCACCTGTGCTGCTGAGAGAACTCTCCTGGCCCTCCACAGTTTGCTGAGCCCCAGTGCCAGGATCTCACCTCCCTCACAAGTATGGAAGCTCTGCATCTATCAGAGCCTCCCCAGTTGGTACTCTCTCCCACAGGAGCAGACTCTGCGGGTGTAGGGGGGCTGCCCTGCACAGTACAGATCAGGGTTGTGACCTGATAGGACCTTCTGTAGCACTTGAATGTACCTTCTCACCTAAGTACCCTTCTTGCAGCCTGGGCCCTGGCACACACCAAAGGTCCCATTGCCCCAGGCTGTGGGCAGGAGAGACCTATGTGGTGTTAGTGGCAGGCAGGCAGGTTGCAGAGGGAAGGCAGAGTGCTGGGGTCAGGCAAGGTGCCCAGCAAACACATCACTTCTCCAGCTCCTGAGGAAGGAGAAGAGTGTCAAAGACACTGCTCACCTTCCCCCTTCGTTAGTGTCCTAGCCTGGTGCCCAGCAGACAGGTGCCTCTGTCCCCCAAATATCTTTCTGCACCCTTGTGGCATCTCTCCCTGTGACTGCAAGTAGAGTCTCACAGAGGAGAGGTTGGCAGCTTGAGACTTACATGCCTTTGCAGGAAGGGAGCAGAAGGAGCAACCAGACAGATGTAGCAGGTGGGGAGATGGCTGGAGAGGAGAGCACAGGAGTGTTTTGGTGCCAGGAGGTTCCTCATGTCCAGGGCGGATGGGCAAAACCTTGCTGGAGGGGATGCTACCTTGGAGCACCTGTAGCACGAAGGCTGCAGTCCTGCCGTGGACCAGCTGTTGGTGCCTGGAGAAGTGCAGTCTCTTCTCTTCTGAGCAGCACCCAGGTTAGGGCCTGGCAGGGAGGGTGGGGACCGTCAGCCCTGATAAGCATCGAGGTATTTCCAGGTCCTCTGAGGAATGTGGTTCACTTCTAGTCTCCTCAGGCGGCAGCAGACACCGACTTGCTGGCTCAAGTTGCTCACACACCCAAACTTCCCTGCTGCAGGACCCACCAGGCTGGGTGAGCAGTTCCAGCAGCAGGTAGCACTGACCTTCTGCATCCCTCCCTCAGCCCACCACGTCTGGTGGTAGCCGGTGACTTTCAGCTCTCTCATCTCAGGTTCTGCTGCAGCCCTTCCTGCTTTCAGGGCCATGACCATAGGTGCAGGAACTCTCACAGCTCCAGTCCTGAGCTCTTGGATATGGCTCAGCTCAGCTTCGTAGAACTGGTGGCTTCCAATCCCCTGGGATGAAGATCCAGCACTGGGGAAGGATGGAGATAAGGCTGGTGCAGCAGAGCAGATGAGCACCTCACAGAACTTCTCTTTTGGTAGTAGAAAGTGTGGGATGAGCCCCAAGCACCCACGCCATCTCATGTAGTTTGCTCAGAGCTGTTCTGGTGTGGAGCAAGTCTTGAGGCTGGTGCCCTGGCCTGCTTTGAGCCCACTCATGTCCCTCAGTAGCAGAGCTGGAGCTCTGAGCTCCACCTTGCAGTTTTTATGGACACAGCTATCAGAGCAGGGATGCTGGGTGCACATCCTGAGCCCCATGGTGGAGGAGAGGCGAGTGGTGGAAGTGAGGGGTGCAGGCTCCCTGCAGCAGG